ATGACTGAACCCTGTACATTGACCCTGTGTGCTGAGTGAGATTCGACACCTAGACCTATGCCTGCGCCCTGTACATCTACCCGGTGACTGTGTGAGATTCGAACCCGCGACCTGTCCTGTGTCATAGGTTAGGCCGTAGGTCGGACTTGATCCCTAGGTTTGTAGGTTAGTAGTTGAGTTTGTTACCGGTTCTCCTAGGAAGGTCTGTTCTAGAAGTCTCCACCTGAGTCTACTGAGGGGAGTCAGTCTGTAGGTCTGTAGGTTCTAGAAGGCCGTAGGTCCCTGTAAGGTCGGTTCAGTTAGCAAGTACCAGGGTAGGGGTTGCACGTGGTTGGAAGGGAAGGGCTCAGGCGGTTTGGGGAAGATTCTGGATCAAGTGGATGGGCCCCAGCAGCCACGCGTTTTGGGCCAGAAAGGCCCACACAGTTTGGAAACTTCCAGACCCGAGGCCCATGCATTTAGAGGCCCAGGCTCACACGGTAAGAGGCCAGGCCCACACGTTTTGGCCCAGGCCCACGCATTTTGAGACAGGGCCCGGCCACCTCCGAAGAAGAACAAATAAAGAGGCAGCGTCCAGCCATTCATTCATTCACCTGTGAGCCATGCGGAAGCGCTGCCTTGGTGACTTGTGCGTGGAGGTCTGCAGGTGCCCGGAGCTGAAGTGGGCAGTGAGGAAGACGACTGCCATAGCTGGCCAGGAGGAAGACGACGGCGGCCATAGCTAGGAGAAGGAAGAGAACGGCGGCCATAGCCGCCCAGCTGTTGTCACAGACAGAATGTACAGTGTATGTGTGTCGGTGTAGCGTGGACATTCAGGGTAGATCCTTGTACATGTGTACATGAGGGAGAGTGAGGCTGGTGGTGAATACGAAGTTCGGCGGCCATAGCCGCAAGTTGTACAGTTGTCTTGAACTGAGTTTTAAGTTGCAAGTTTGTAATTGATTCTGAGTTGGAGAAGTTGTTTTGCCATTGGTTTGTCCATGTATGCATGTTGCAAGCAAGTTTGGAGTGCGGTCTGATTTCAGTCCCATGTTATAGCGACGGAAGACTCCTCATTAACTAGGATCTTGCTGACACTACCCACTCCACCACCAGAATACTAGAAAAGTTGTAATGCAAAGCCTGAGTCTCCAAAGACTGGGAACACTAAGGAGGGTTTTCTGATCTAGCAGTGTACGATTCATGTAAAGGACTCGCAAACATCACCACAATCAAGCAACACAATACGGCTAGTTGGGAGAAAACAAGTCAGTAAATTAAAATTCTTGAAAGCCGGCAAATGAACAACACTCCAACCTCTCTCTCTCTCTCTCTCTCTCTCTCACACACACACACACACACACACACACACACACACACACACACACACACACACACACACAAAATACGGATACTTGAGAGAAAACAAATCAGTAAATTGACATTCTTGAAAGCCGGTGAATGAACAATACTTGCCTTCAACATCTCTCTCTCTCTCTCTCTCTCTCTCTCTCTCTCAATTGACAAGCAAGTGGAAATTACTGCCATCATGTTTCCTCTTGGAGGTTCTTAAAGATCTGCCAAAGAGGTGGTCGTATTATTTTTGTTTCTACCAATGGAACCAGTCACAAGGTTTAAACTAAGGAAATCTTTTTTCAGTGAGGGTAGGACCCGATTTCGAGGCAAATCAAAATGCTAATCTAATTCCCGTTGTCCGAGCACACTTGTGACAGTGAACGAGTTGGCTGTACCAATACGCTGTGATGGTAACAGGCCTTGGCAGAGCACAGAACCTACATCCGCTTTCTTCATCATGGGACTCTCCTTCACAAAGCAGACATTGTGTAGCTTCTTGCACTTTCCACTCATTGCACACTGCCACCTCCAGGAAACCTTATCCACAAACTAATCCGTACACCACCTATAAATAGCATCTACCGGCCATCTCTTTTGATTGCATGTTGCTTGTGTGTGTGTGTGTGTGTGTGCATGTGTGTGTGTGCATGTGTGTGTGTGTGTGTGTGTGTGTGTGTGTGTGTGTGTGTGTTGTTTTAAAAGACCCCAGATTCTCTCTCTTATTCCCTTCACAAATCATCACA